GTCTGGTTTGTTTAACAGAATTTTAGAGACTGACAAGATGCCTGATGAGTGGAGGAAAAGTGTTCTGGTACCAATTCATAAGAAGGGTGATGTGCAGAGTTGTAACAACTACAGAGGGATAAAGTTGATGAGCCATACAAATGATTTGGAAAGGAGTAGTGGAAGCTAGGTTGAGGCAGGAAATGGAGATTTGTGAACAACAGTATGGTTTCATGCCTAGGAAGACTACCACAGATGCAATATTTGCCTTGAGAATGCTGATGGAGAAGTACAGAGAAGGTCAGGAATAGCTACATTGTGTATTTGTAGATTTAGAAAAGTGACAAAGTGCCAAGGGAGGAATTGTGCCAAGGGTGGAATTGTGGTTTTGTACGAGGAAGTCAGGAGTGGCAGAGAAGTATGTTAGTTTGGTGCAGGACATGAATGAGAATAGTACAACAGTAGTGAGGTGTGCTGTTGGAAGGACAGAAGACTTCAAGGTGGAGGTGGGACTACATCAAGGATCGGCCCTGAGCCCCTTATTGTTTGCTTTGGTGATGGACAGATTGACAGATGAGGTCAGACAGGATTCCCCATGGACTATGTTGTTTGCAGATGACATTGTGATCTGTAGTGAGAGTAGGCAGCAGCTAGAAGATAACCTAGAGAGGTGGAGGTTTGCACTAGAAAGAAGATGAATGAAAGTCAGTAAAATAGTGATGTTACAAGGAGCAGAAGTGGTGAAGGTGCAGGGGTTTAGGTAGTTAGGATCAACTGTTCAGAGCAGAGGAGACTGTGGAAGAGAGGTGAAGAATACAGGCAGGATGGAACAGCTGGAGAAAAGTGTCAGGAGTGATCTGTGATAGAAGCGTGTCAGCTAAGGTGAAGGGAAATGTTTACAGGAAGGTGGTGAGACCAGCCATGATGTATGGTTTAGAAACGGTAGCAATAGGCAGAAGACAGGAGGCGGAGCTGGAGCTAGCAGAGTTAAAGATGCTAAGATTGACTTTAGGAAGAGGATCATGTTTGTCCAGGAGGATGCTGATGTCGGTTCTCACCTTTTGGATCAGCATTGGGGAAGAGGCGGTTCCATGGCACTTTGCAGCGCACAGGAAGTGACAAAAGGTAGTTCCTGGCCTTAATGTTGATAATGCAGTTCAAATCCTCCTGAGAAGGAGAACCAAGGATCCCTGTGGAACAAACATGGACTAGGATTAAAGTTGTGGCGCACAGAAGAAAAACTCTGCACAACAGGGAGAAACAACGTGTGGTCTAGCACCACAGCTGACAAAGAACACTTCATAAATTCATATTAACAAGTAGAGCGTCTCTGGACTGGCACAAGGAAGGTGTTGCTACTGGCAGAGTGTGAAGTTGTGGCTCAGGCGTGAAGGTGTCAAACCATAGAATAAACAGATGCATTGCAATGCATTTGTCTCAAAGGCAATGGGAAGTTTTCAAGTTGCTGAAAAATAAACGTTACGATGTAGCTGGAATGGAAAAGTATGTCAACTTAATTTTCCTTGACATGGTTGAAGACAAATAAATAAATACATTTCTGTGGTTGTACAGTAAGAAGTAGATTTTTTTTCTTTACCCAAAATGTGGTTAAGTTGATCCAGGTAGTGTTTTCCAGGAAAGATTGGTCTGTTGGACAACATCTCAGCCAGGATGCAGCCCACTGACCAAATGTCTATGGATTTGGTGTAGCCCTGATAAAGTGAAAGTGTAAAGTGAACAGACACACACTTAACGTTCTACTTTCATGACTATATCAGCAAATATGTGTGTATTCAAAAGTAATACGGCTAAAGAACAGTAAATACACACAAATGTCTTATTGTATAAACAACATAAGAAATGACATACAACAAACATGTCATGGAGTGTTTATAAATGAGCAAAACGAATCCATAAACAGAAACACTTTTTCAGTCTCAACCAAACACATCTCAGTATAGTACAGTACATCTAATACACAGATACTGCAATAACAACAAAAATGTTAACGCAGATAGATTTGTTTACACCTCGGTTGGAGCAGGTCAGCATTACAAAGAGCCTTTCCTCAGCCATTCTACTAAAACACAGGGTGTATGTTAATCTACAACAACCAGGAAGAGAGATTAAAGGTTCCTAACTTTAACATCAAATTTTATTCAAATCTATCAGTGAGGCGTCTGTTGTTGGACTGATGATGTGGCAGAAGCTCCAGGACATGAGGACACATTTAGTGTGTCATATCCTTCCTTCACAAGAGTTTTGAAAAGTGTTTTTTTTCCTTTCATATTTTAATTGATTTTATTTTATTTGTTCTGTCCAAATATCCACATGATCACCTGGATGTGATTGGTGTCGTACAAATAAACTCTCCTTGGACCTTGCATTTTGTTCATTTGTGATGTGCTTTAATATTGGAAGAGTGACGTCAGACACATGGACATAACTTCTAATTCCTTTACATATGCTCACAATACATGGAGAAGCAGGAAGGATAAAAACAATCTTCTAGAACTGACTCAAACATTTCCAGGAACATTTTTCATATGATTCCATGACTGCAAGGCAAAGACTTCATCAGAAATGATAGAGAGATAAAATTCACGTCCATTTGCCTAACAGAACTCTTCAACCTTGAGTGAATAATTTTCCAGCCAAGGAAACATATGAAAAATTAAAAATGTTCCTGGAACTGTTTGAGTCAGTCCTGGAAGATTTTTTTCTGACTTGTTTAATTCTGAAAAAGCCTTTTGGTTGAGAGGTGAAACATCTTTGAAACTCTTCAACCTTGACCATGACCTGGATGACTGAGAATCTTCACAGACATAATTCACTCATTGTCCAGGATATTTGTGAACCCTCATATTGTTAAGAAATCGTAATAGTGTGTACTGTGTTCGGCATGTAACAAAACTGTTGCTAATATGTTCCAATAATAACGTCAGCTTTTGCTCTAAACACCCTCTGTAGTTGCCAAAATGTCCATGTTGTGTAAGCAGAGTTTATGAGGGATCAGTATAAACACGGTTGGTGTCATATGCATTACACAGAGCAAACAGTTCTAGGCAAAAGTGTTCTATTTCAGCAAATCATTGAGAGGCGGAGAAAAGAAAAGAAAATCACATCAATCACAAACTGTGACAGTTCACAGAATTTATTTGTGTGATTTGTCAGCTGTGTTGTCAACATTTCACAGCTGACATCACATTTACCTTTGAGTTGAGCATAATCTCAGGTGCACGGTACCAACGTGTGGCCACGTACTCTGTGAGGAACCCAGTGTGGTCATGGTCGGGATCAGCAACACGGGCCAAACCAAAATCGCAGATCTGCAGGGAAAAGGACGACAAACACCAATGTTAATTTGTTGACTACAAGGTTTAATACCACTTTTCTTGTAGTTTATTATTAAGTGTATAAACATTATACACTGTATTACAGTACTTTAAATATGCACAGTACCATTTAGCCTTGCTCTACCTTTTACATTTGCGCAAGAAGTAGCTCTAGTGTGCTTTTAAAATTTCTACCTTTTTTGCATACATTCTTACTTCCTTCTCGTCAGATGTTTTTTTTTTTTCCTCTTTGTCAAATAATGTAATCACTCTCTGTGCTGTGCCCAGATTTCCCCAGTGTGGTTCAAAAAAAGGTTTCAGACTAAGTCCTAACCTTATTAACATATGTATCACCACAGATATACACAAGAAATGACACAGGAAACAGGTTTGCACCTTCAGATCACAGGTGGTGTTGAGCAGAAGGTTAGAAGGTTTCAGGTCACGGTGCAGGACGTTGGCAGAGTGGATGTACTTGAGCCCTCGTAGGATTTGGTAGAGGAAATAGCAGATGTGGTCATTGCTCAAGTGTTGAGTCTTGAGGAGCTTGTACAGGTCGGTCTCCATGAGATCCTGGACAATGTATCTGTGCATTCCAAAGTTAAGGGGCGCACACTTTGAAAACCAAATGTAATGGATACAAGGAATAACTTTTAAATTCACACAAGTCTATGGTAAAAAAAATAAAAATAAAGGCAATGCAGTGTTGTCAATAACAAAATTAAATGTATATTTTAACATGTAATATATCTAGCTAAGCAGTAGCAGGATGAGCATTTTGTGCTAATGCAAAGTTTCCATTAGGAAACTTGGAATAATAAAGGTTGGAATAATGACTCTTTTATATGCACACATGGATTTCATTATGTCAAGATGAAAACTTTTAAATTAAAAAACATAATTGTATTGTTTTTATTTTTTTTTTTACACAACCCCAAGCTACGTCCTGCAGACTTTAAGGGGTCTGGGAACCCGTGGTTGAGAACTATTCTTCTAGTGCAGTGGTTCTCTAACTTTCTCTACTCTGTACCACCTGAGAAAACATGGATCTCTCCGAGTACCACCATGATGACCAACATTAGAATATAGCAGCATAGGCCTTCACTGTTAGCTTCCACCACAGGAGAGATGTTTAGAAATGTTTAGAATGATTTTTAATTTTTAAATGTTGTATTAATTGTGCATGGTATGTTTCAGATTTATTCAATTGAAAATGTAAATGTGAAAATGTGAATTTTTCCCATGTACCACTAGAGAGCACTCATGTACCACTGGTGGTACACAGACCACAGTTTGAGAACCACTGTGCTAGTGGATATACAAGATTTCACATCATTGGATAACTGAAAACTCATTATTTAATCAATAAACGTACAACGACTGATGGGGGAAAAAAAAAAAATTAAAAATTGATGCTATTTCTGTAAGCCAGTATCTATTATTAAATTACAAAAAAATGACATGTCACCACAGTTACAAAGGAAATGAAGACGTAATACTGGCCATTAGGAGTCACATGGGTTGATGCTTATGTTATCACAACATACAAAAGAGTTTTTCTGCCTTTAAAGGTAGATGTAGTTAATCTGTAAGAGTTTCTGTGAAAAGTATGACGCTAATGTCATTAAGAAGCAACAAGAGTCCCAGCTTTACAACACACTGTAAACCCACAATCAGTGCATTATGAAAACAAGAGCCACTGCAGACTACAGAACAGGTGGCTTTTATGTAATGAAACACAAGTGAACAACCCAATTCAAGCACAAAGCCTGTGTGTAACACCAACCACCAAAAGGATCATGGGCAGGAAAATGCTAACATTGAATGAGGGGTCATTTTTTGGTTGTCATTGTTGTTGTGAACAAATAAAGTGCCTTCATAAAATCTTAGGTTATTCACACTGCATTTTTCCCACAGCCTGGTGATCAGAAAGGCTGGACTGAGGTGGTGATGTTTAAGGATACACGTCCTTCATCTGGTCAATGGTTGGTGTGCGAATGATGTCATTGATGCCGATGATGTTCTCGTGTTTGAAGCGCAGGAGGATCTTGATCTCTCTCAGGGTGCGCTGACAGTATGTTTGATGTTCAAAAGGGCTGATCTTCTTGATGGCCACGCGGATCTTGTTGTCCCGGTCATAAGCAGAACTGAAAAAAAAAAACAAAAAAAACCCTCCAGATTAAGGACATTAACATTAACATTGGAGGAATAAAGAAAACCTTTTTAAACAACATTTTTCAATTAATGTTGTTTTAATGGATCAAATCCACAGCTGTGATTCATCATTTTAAAAATGTTATCATTTCTCATGTTATTTAATTTCTAATATACAGAGCCCATTGAGTGATCTTTGATTAATGGCCACTTGATGGTCAATTTTTAATGTGACACAGTTATGTAAGAAATTGGTCATTAGTATTTAAATAAGGAAATAAATTGAGGTCTGTTAAGGGATGGGGGGAGACTGCTGGTGAACTCTACAGGTCACATGGAATACAATGATTCCTCACCAGAAAAACAACACTAATACCCTGCACCATCAGCACTGGTCTATCTAGACATCACTCCGAACCGGGTGGTCATGCAATAACACTGTTGGTCACAGTACTGTAATTTACTTTAAACCATAAGAATCTAATGAAATAGGTCTTATTTGGTTTCATGCAACAAGAACAGCTGTGGTCCAGAATATTCTTTAGAAAAACCCAGGGGTTACTGCACACTTCCAAAAAGATTGCAGCGTGTTGGGGTAATGCGACTGAATTTCTCAGTAATATTGTTTGGGTTGTCAGAATATTGCATCATGAGTGAGAATGGTAGCACTGTTCCAATTCCTTATACATGTAGTTGGAGGTTATGAAACAAAATAAGGCCATGCAGCACCCAACAATTTTTCTTTTACCAAACCGACTCCGTTAGGAGGGAAAAGTCCATGTAGAGCAGGGGTGTCAAACTGAAGGACCGGTTGTAAATGGAAAACTGTTTAGATCAGGGGTCCCCAAACCCCGGTTTGCAGACCAGTACCAGTCCATAGGTCATTTGGTACTGGGACACAACGAAAAAATGTACTGGATTTTTACTAATTTACTTCATTCAAAGAAAGTCCAGTCCTATCCATTTACTATCTTTATTTAAATATATTCTAATTTTAAAATAATAGGTCATTCAGACTCTGATACAAACAGAATAAAGGCTAAAATATGTTTTATGTGAAAATGTAATGATCCTTCAATGTTCAGTACCTTGGTACCAGTCTGTAGCAACAGGTGGTACTGGTTGACCAGTCTTTGGAATAAAGGTCAGGGACCACTGGTATAGATGCAACTACTCCATAACAGACTGATACATGTTTCTGTAATTGATTATTATTTGAGTGCTTATAAAAACTTTTAAGAAACTCTGCTGCATGAACTTAATGCTTTTTAAGCTCCCGCGGGCCACACAAAAAGACTTGGCCTTAGGTTTTCTTTACCAGCAGAATGGTTTCCATGTTCACTTTCCCACGCTCAACCAGCCTGAAATATTTAGATTCCAACACCAGGCCAGAAACTCGTGCTAGGTCTTATAACTGAAACACCAAGATAGGAAGTTGTTGTTTTTTGTGAAATGAAAATACGTTGATATACAGGTTCACAGGTGAAGGAATCTACCAGGAAGTCAAGAAACATTTACCAAAAATGTGCCATCACTTACTGAGTATCATTTCAGCCTGTCATTTTGACAGCCTGTGATTTACACCTGTGTCCAGCGAGTCTTGGTGTCATGTTAATTAGTTGTTGTATAAACCTGACTGTTGTCTATGAAACATTAACAATATTTTTACCATGGACCTGCCCAAGTTTAATAGACGAAATGATTGGACAGTGACGACAGTCTAAAGAAGCTGCAGATAAAGGACATTCGGGTCTTATTTAGGGCGGACATACACTGTACGATTTTAGCCCGTTTTTGATCCGATAATTTGAGACGGACGACCTGGCAACAGTCGACCCGATTTCATGTTTCGTCGGGCGTCTTTTTCCGTACAGTGTACAGGGGGTAACGGGGGCCGATTATCTGTTCCCGAACGACCGTCGTACGGTCGGAAGAATTTCTGACATGTCAGAAATTTTGGTCGGCCGACAAATTCTTTCGCATAGTGGAAGCCGAGCCTCGAGCCAAGCGCAGCACCTCTCCCTCAGTGCGCCTGCGCAAAGTGATTGTAACTAGTGATGTTCGATACCACCAATTTCCTTTCCGATCCGATACCGAGTAAAATTCGGGCTGGTATCGCCGATACCGATGTCGATACCGATATTTTATCATTTGTCTTTTAAATAATAAAAAAAGTGTATTTCAAATCATAGCTTCTTTAAGAATCCAAGGCAGAGTTTTTTAAATATTTATTTTAAACTCTGGAGTGTACTGAGGTAGCTGCCTCATTTACTATACAGTCAACACAACAATAGAAAAACCTGAGAACACAATCATATAAAATATGTCAAAACAATGTTTCAAACTCTGAAAA